AATGAAATGAAATAAGTCAGTATAACAGCCATATGATCTGTGCAACTATCCATATCACCAATTCACCATTAATTGATCCATTATAAGATTGTTTAATACGGTTTGTCCCAGATATGGATTTAGGTAGACTTTAAAAATTATAACTTTGAAATTGGATCACGTACTTGTCCTGATTTTTGTTTGGTAGCCAAAACTCATGAAAACTTGTCATTTTGATAAATATTTTTTTTTAATTATGATAATAGTACGAAATTTCTACCACTTAAATAATTAGGAGTGAGCAATGAGTGTGTTCGGTCGGGTTTCAGGTGAAAAATATTTAATCCATTATAAACCGACTTTAAAAAAAATGTGACTCATATCTGACCGATTGACTTTTAATTTGAGATGGCTCGGGTTGAAACGTATTGGAAAAAATCCAAGTCCCACATTGACTAGAGATTAGTTAATTAAATAGTATATAGGTGAAAAACAACCATTATCCTATAAGCCGATTTTGTAGGGTTGAGTTAGGTTTAAATCTATTATTCTAAGATGGTATTAGAGATATCCTAGATTCTTAAAAAATGGGCCACCCACCATTGATACATGTACCATGCGCATGAGGGAATGTATTGAAAAAAACTCAAGTCCCGCCAATTCTAAATCATTAAAAAGGGTCACCCACGTACCAAGCCCAATAGAGCTAGACGTGAGGGGGTGTATTGGGAAAAATCCAAGTCCCACATCTACTAGAGATTAGGTAATTAAATCCTTAGTTCTTATTCTACCACTTTAGAGATCGAACAGGAATGCTAGCGACATCCGGAGCTCTAACAAAGGGAGGGGGAAGTTCTTCTATGGCTACAACACCAACTGTGTATAGAACGAATGGATTCCACTAAGCAAAGGTACAGGATAAAGTAAAAAAGCATGAACTCGCGCTAAAGCCATTTAGGGCGGGGACAATTCCCTTAATTCTTTGATCTCGACTGACTAAATCAATAGCAGAAGTCTTTTTCTTTTCGATTGAGCTTCTCTTGGCCCTTAGTGGCCTTGAGATTACCATAACGAAGATCTCAACTATGCCATCGAAAGAGAGTTTTCGTAGGTTAAGTCATTCTAAAAATAAAGCGGGAATGTAGACTAAGTGATTCGTAGTTCCATAACCACATAGTGGAAAGAAGATTCTTAGTGCTTTCCCTAAACCGGGCCTTCGTCCAACTCTAGCTATGGGGATTTTAATGAAAAGTGGTGCACCCGTTCGAAGCCAAGAGAAGCTTCAATCTTTCATTGACAGTGTAGTGGTGATAGTCTCACCTTGGACTATGCTTTCAACTGAACCAAAGCCTATCCGCGCCGTCAAGTTCAAGAAAACGAAGCTATGTCAGCAAGTGGTCTTGTAAGAGAAAGGCTCTTACTTGTTCTATGAAAAGGAAATCCGCAATGGTTGAACCTTCTGTACGCCTGTGATGTCCTGATATTGAGAAAGAAATCGGCCAGGAATGGATCGTATACTTCAAATTCCGAGTCAACAACCCTAACTCAAGAACTTATATAAAAGAAAATCTTTGTGAAAAAGCTTTAGTATAAAGGATACTTACCAGAGTCAAGTCCTTGACCAACAAAGAGCCTTTCTTATGCTGGTTATGGTAGGGTTTTCTATTCAGAATGACTGTGAAAGTATATTCATATTACCCTTGAAAGTTGCTTGATGACATTGAGCGGATTCTTATTCCTGTGGAAAGAGGCAGATTGAAAGCACACCGGAGCCTTGGGAAAAATTCAAGTCCCACATTGACTAGAGATTAGGTAATTAAATAATATATAAGTGGAAAGCAACCCTCACCCTACAAGCCAATTTTGTAGGGTTGAGTTAGGCTTAAATCTACTATTCTAAGAAAACGAATTCAAATTTAAACGAGTGGGTACAATCGGGTTTGAAATTTTCTGTAGACCAAGTTATCTTACAAAAATAGAATAAAGGTGACAATAGATGGTGTAGGTAGATGTGTATATAAAACATTCACAAACTAAAGAAGAAAAAACAAAAGATAACAAAATCCATAGTTGTTACATGCAAAAGAAATCTAAAGTTAAAAAACAAAACTTATAAGAAACCACGACCGCACAAGTTGTACTCAAAATGGAGGCAAAAAGATGGAAAAGAAAGATAAAGAAAGAAAAAAAAAAAACTCTAAAATGAACTAGAAGTTAAACGAGGAAGGAGAAGATAAAGAAGTATTTAAGTTATGAGAAAAAGGAAAAAAAACAAGTTATAAATTGATGATTGTATTATATTTGAAATAAAAACTTTTAAGTTTTGATCATTATTGTTTAGTTAAACAAAAGTAATAAAAATTTAAAATTTATCTCATTTTTTGTTGAGTTCGATTTTTAGCGGGTTTAAAAATTTAAAATTGAACTCGCTCAATATAACCTGTATAAAATTAAAATTTTAACTCGTTTTACTCATAAAATACGTTTAAACCCACTTAAAAGTAATATTTTTTATTAAATTTTTTTGGTTCAGTTCGAATCTTTATTTTTATGTTCAGTCTTAAAAATAATGATTAATTTATCTCAAAGATTATCAGCATATATAAAAAAGTAATTTTTCATCATGATATAGTCTATTTCATATTTATATTCATTTTATATATACATACGTGCATCTTGAATATAATTTATATCAAAAGGAAAAATTCATTGTAACTGGTTTATTCTCTTATTTACTAAAATTAAAAGACACAGTTTCTTATTAGTGGCCTGAATCAAATTTGTCAGTTTTAGATTCTCCATGTAGATGAGCATAAAAGCTTGGTACGGATTTCTGTCAACCCAACTTTACATAAGGCGAATAAGAAACACAACTGGGAGATAAATCCCAGCTTCGATTAAGACTTAATTGCCATCATTACCCTTTTAAACAGGCTGCCTAATTAGTTCAAAGATCATCTCAGGTTTTACAATAGCCTTAATCAATGGCCCTTAATTAATTCACACGTACGTCCAATCTTGCTTCATCCTGTCCCCTGCAGACCCCACACCTTGGTCTGGAACAATATATCTAGCTGCTATTCCTAAGTCTCCACACATATATTGTGTTTGGTTTCATATCGAGACATCTGTATCTGTATGATGCTGAAAAGCGAGTTAACCTAATTTTATGAATATATTTATGAGAAAAATAGTACATCCAATTAAAAATCGTTATATGATAATATAATAAATTAATGACTAAAATATTTTTTTTTTGTCTTTAAAGTGTGTATTTTTATGATTTTAATATTTCAAATTTTAATTAAATAATTTTAATTCTTCAATTATTATAATTATGTAATTTTAATTTTAAATTTTAATTTAATAATTTTAATCTTTTAAATATATAATTATTTAATTTTTATCTATTTAAATTACATATATTATAAATTTTAATAATAATAAATATATATCATCTAATACATAAATGAAAAATATACTATATATAACTTAAATAAGTTAGAAATTATATAATTACGATACTTGAATAATTAAAATTTTTCAATAATATTATTGACCAAAATGGTACAATTATAATATTTGAGGAATGAAAAGTACAATTAAATCTAAATTTATTAATTTTTATAAAAGTATTTAAAAGTTATATTTACATAATTTATGATTAATTAACCTTTATAAAATTATTTTACATCATCAACAAATATTTATAACACATTTTTTTAAATATTTATTAAAATATACAAGATTAAAAATGATGCACAGTAAATAAAAAGCGAGTTTCATTAATTTTTATAACTTTTAATAAATTTCAATCATTAAAAAATGTGTTATTACTTAAATGATACTTTCCTCTTACTTATATATAAACAAAAATTACTACAAAACTTTTTATCGAAAAATAAGCAAATTTTAGCAAAGTCAATATTATTTAATATTCTCAATCCAGCAATACTTCTAAGATAATAAATTAGAATACTATTTACAATAAATATAATCAAGATATTCTAGAAATTGTATTATATATTGTATATGAAATTGCAAAATTAAATACATTTTAATTTCTTTCTTAATTTATTATGCAAAATTAAGTTACTTTACTTATAAATAAATAGAGGGAGTAACATTTCTCTTATTACATATATTTTGTTGGTTAAACATATAATTTATTTTCTATATATGCCAGTAAATTCTTGATTTGAATCATATGAATAAAAGTTTATTAAATTCATTCTTGTGTATATAAGTGAAAGGTTGAGTTAAATCCTAAACCCACATTTTAAGAACTATCATAGATCCACTCTAAAAAAGATCATTTGTGATTGATACATGCACCAACTTTAATAATGTTGGACGTGAGGATGTGTATTGAAAAAAACTCAAACCCCACATGGATATGACAAATAAAGAATTTATAAGTGGAAGATAATTCTTATCTTACAAGTCAATTTTGTAGGGTTAAGTAGTTAAACTCATAATCCATTTTATAAGATGATATCAGAGTCATGTTTTGTAAGACCTATCAGGCCATTGAGGACTATGTGTTAAAAGTCCCATCAATTTTGTAGAGTTAAATTAATCTTAAACTCATATTATTATTATAAGAGTCATCTATTTAACCTATATTATTATTAAATATCTTACATATTTTTAATTTAATCTTTATATATCTACTAGGTAAAACTAACCCTCTTTCATTAGTCTTCTTATATATATAGATGGCACATTCTTAATTTTATTTTTACATATAAGAGCCTAAATTAAAAATGCATTATACATATAAAAACTAAATAAAAAAACGCATATATAAATCAAATTCACATTAATAATTATCGGTCAACATATGAGGTAACGTTAATATGTAAAGAAATAAGAAACTAATATATTTTTACGTATAAAAATAATATCTTGAAGCTGTTCCTGTTTCTGTATACTTTTCCCTCCTCATTCCACCAAATGGTGTACATGTATCACGACTATATATAATATTAGCTCATTTCGCTTTCTGGCATACCATTTTAACACATGAATCATGGAGTACCACCAATCTTATACTACCTCTTCCTCTTCTCACTCCAACCACCACACCCACACCCGCATCCCGGCTTCACAACACAGCCTCGTATCAGTTCCATCTCTCAACACCACCTCACAATCCCACCTCCACACCTACCACCACTGCCTCGCAACCCTCAAAGGCCACACCTCCTACATCTCCTCCCTAACCCTCTCCGGCAAATTCCTCTACACAGCCTCCTCCGACAGAGAAATCCGATCCTGGAACCGCTCCCAACCTCAAAACACCGCCGCCGCCACCAACACCGTCACCGCCGGAAACGGCGCCGTAAAGTCCCTCGTTATGCACTCCAACAAACTCTTCAGCGCCCACCAAGACCACAAAATCCGCGTCTGGAAAATCACCACCACCACTACCACCAACAACGATGACGACGACGACGAAAAGAAGGAACACGACCACCTTAAATACACGCACGTGGCGACACTCCCCACCCTCGGGGACCGCGCGGCGAAGGTTTTGATCCCGAAAAACCACGTACAAATCCGAAGGCACAAGAAACGCACGTGGGTTCACCACGTGGACACCGTGTCCGCTCTCGCCCTGTCCAAAGACGGAACCTTGCTGTACTCCGTTTCGTGGGACAGAACAATCAAAATCTGGCGAACCAAAGACTTCACGTGCTTGGAGTCTCTAACCAACGCGCACGACGACGCCATCAACGCCGTCGCGGTTTCTTACGATGGGCGCGTCTACACGGGATCAGCGGACAAGACGATCAAGGTGTGGGCGAAACCAGAAGGGGAGAAGAAACACGCGTTGGTGGAAACGTTAGAGAAGCACAACTCGGGGGTCAATGCCTTGGCTCTGAGCAGCGACGAAACCGTGTTGTATTCTGGTGCATGTGATAGGTCCGTTTTGGTTTGGGAGAAAGACGAAAGTGATGGGAATATGGGGTTGGTGGGTGCGTTAAGGGGACACACCAAGTCCATATTGTGTCTCGCTGTTGTGGCGGATTTGGTTTGTAGCGGTTCCGCTGATAAAACGATTAGGATTTGGAGAGGGGTTGACGCCGAATATTCTTGTTTAGCTGTTTTGGAAGGACACACGGGTTCGATTAAGTGCTTAACCGCAGTGGTTGACCACTGTAACCCCTCCCACTCCCAACTATCTTTTCTACTATATAGTGGCGGTTTGGACTGCCACATTAAGGTTTGGCAGATTTTACTTCCTGCTATCTAAATTACATATACAATCATTAACAGCGCTACCAGCTTCAATTTCTTTACAAGTTTTTCACTCTTTAACTTATCGTCATCTGGGTGTTTTCTTTTCCGATCATTATATATTAGAGTATTTTCGTTCAATATAGAAACTAATAAAAGTTTCACAAAAATACTAAATAGCGATTGAAAAAAAATTTCAACTTAAGTTTTTTGTATACACAAAAATTAAGATTTGAACATCAACCACTGAAAAAAATATCTCAGATAATCACATTAACTCAAATTATTGCCTTTAATAGACTTTAGTTACTATTTCTAATAATATGATTTAGTTATTATTTTTAGTAATAAGTTAATATGTTGTACCGATTTCTTGATAATTATACGATACATAAGTTCATTCTTCTTCTTTAGAGCTTTAAAGGGAAGTTGTCAAGGACAATTTAATTAGTCTTTCTGCCTATATTTTTCTTTGGAAATTTTTAATTTGTCTTCATTTCGATCGACTCCTTGGATTAATTAGAACTGCGATAGTTGTCCTCTACGGGTAAACTTTATGTTTGACTAAAAAGATGTTTGTGAGTGAAAATATAATTAAATGAAGCCAAATGTTTTATTGAGGTGGCGATTCTTCGTTCGCGGCCGACAATATTGTGAAGTGATGTACGTTGTTTGATGTGTGTTAATTAACTGAAAAATTATCAATCTCGGGTAGATTATCGGCACTTAAACACTGTAAGTATGATGAGTTGGGACATGTTGAATTAGTTGCGTACCTAATTGGTTAACGGAATATCGTATTTTACGATCGCAACATTCTTGGTTGAAGGAGGGTTTAGGTTATTCTTGCATCTTAACTTTAACTTAAAGACTTATTTCTTAACTTATTGAGATATGTCAAATTAAGAAACAAGGATAATTTATAGATATTTTTTTTTCTTAATTTATTGAGATATTTTTTTAAAAATAAAATTATAATGATTCAATGTCAAAATAGATAATATTTTAATTGAGAAAGTTGTCAACCAACTTACCATCGGAGTACGTTACAACCAAGGCTCGAAGATGATAAATTCTTGTATCCATAAACACACTTTAAATTGAAAAGGAATTTTAAAACAAATAAAGTAAAGAGTTTTAAGAATAGAATACTTTTAAGAGTGAGAATAAATAATAATTATTGCTAAAAATATATTTTTCACACTTTAAAAAAATTAAAATTCTAAACTATAAACGGGATTAAAATTAAGAAATTTTATTAAAACCATGTTAAACCATACAGTTTCAGGTCCTTTTAAGTTAATAATCATAAAAAAAATGTTAAGATAATTTTATCTAACAAATGTGATTATTTACTATTTTAATCAAATAAATATTAAAAATATCGTTAGAATGTAAAAAAAAAAAAAACACTAATTTTTAATGATATAAAAATAAAATTCTTTTTATATACTAAAATTAATAGATACTTTCATGGATTAAATATTGTCATTGTAAATATATTTAAATATTATATTTAAAATATAATGAATATATGTATTTTCTTATTCAGTTATAAATACGCCATTAACAAATTACAAAAATATTAGCTAAGACATGATATAAGTAATATAAACAATTATGATTATATAGTATTTTGTGTGGAAAAACATATTTTAAGTTAATTTTTTTTACATCAATTAATAGTAACTCTTTTCTTGAACAATTTGAGCAGCTGTATACAAATATTAAAGTTAAGAAAACATGGCAATTATGGGATATTTAAATTCAAAATTCCAGAAAGAAAGAAAAAGGTCATTAACTATTTAAGCTTGGATTATATACATGGGGAGGTATCCACTTATATTCCAACTGATCTTAATAAAGTCACTTCATTTGAAAACTTGCTTTTAATATTAAATTTTAATGATACAATCATTAAATTAAAAATTTTAATGAGTAGATCAAGTTTACAATTTTTATAAAATATAAAAATTATTTAATAATTCGTTAGATCGATTTAAATTAATGTATAATATTATATATATATATAGAGAGAGAGAGAGAAGGAGTCGTCAATAATCACTTAATGTATTTTGAAACTTTCTAGAGGATATGGAAAGAGATGTCAAAACCTCTTGTTTATTCTCAATGTTTGTATGATTATACGAAGATAACGACAATATTTTCTTAATTATGTATATCTAATATGTATGTAATTAAGAATGATGTTTTATGTTGTTTTAAGTTGTTTCATGTTGGTTTGCTTGTGTTGGGGCGAGTGTTAGAGTTAAGACGACCCCCAGGCTTAAGTATTTGAGAGTTTTCTCAATTGAAGAGGGTTGATGTATATAAGGTGGATTTTGAGAAGTAAACTTCATAAATTCATAACTTAAGATTTCTAAAGAGAAGATCCCTAGAAACTTTGAGTTATTGTTCAAGCTTTAATTGAGTAACTCTAAGGTCATGGATCTTCCCTAATGCTAGAGATCAATGGATCTTGAATCCTAAGGAAGATTGTGGAGCTAAGATTCTTGAGAATCAAAGTTGGGGGAGCTCTTGTGAGAGTTCTAGAGAGAGTTTCTTCTACCTAGGGAGCTTAATAGGGGTAAAAGAAGCTATTGTAGTTTATGTATATTGCATAAACATTGTTGATGTTAATTCATGTTGATTAGATGGGTGAACTGTTGAGATTGGTGTATTTGCATGTTCTTGAGTTTTAGGAGTTTTTGAACCCAATTTGGGGATTTAATGATATATTCTTGTGATGTTGTGGTTGCATGTATCTTTAAAGGTGTCTTTTATGCTATGGATGTGCAGAGTTGTGCTTATGGGTTGCATGTTGAAGAGAAGGGTTGGGATGGTTGAAGGATAATAGTGAAGTGTGAACACTATGGAGGTGTTGCGTGCATATATACTCTCGTCGCCCAACGAGATGATGAGCTCGTTGGGCAAGTGTTTGAATATGAAGGCAAAGTTTCCTAGAACACATTCTCACTCAAAGATCTCAACTGTCACTCAATGAGAATGGTAGTTCTTGATGAACCCCTTGAAGGTGCGTCGAGCGATAGATGTGTCGCCCATCATGAGGTTGTGGTTGTGGAGGGGTAGAGTGGTAATGTTGCCCAACGAGTTAGAGCTCGTCCAATGAGAATATCCACAAAGGGTCAAGCTTGCTTAATAAGAATAACCCACCAATGAAAAGTCCTATTAGGGTTTGGGTGCCCGATAAGGCTATCCTCTCCCAACAAGAATCCCCTGTTTTTAAGCGTTAAGTTTCTTATGATTGATTTTGTTGATATGTTTGATGTTGTATTATGTTGATGACACTTTTGATGATTATAGTATGTCATTGATCATGTTTATGCTAATTATATATGTATCTTTCATATGCAATGTTGCATGCTCAAATGTTTGCACAAGCTTATGGTGGTTGTAATTGATCTGTATACTTATTCATGATGTTGTAATGAATGTAGGATAGACTTGAACCTCTAATTCATAGGGTTGAGTGTGGTGTTAGGAAGGTTGGATCCCCTTCACCATTTTTTTTATTTAAAAAAAGCCTTTAAGGCAACTTAAAGGAGAATGTTGAGTTATTCAACGAAAGATTCAACTTGTTTTGCTAAGATATTCAGTGGAAGATTCTAGATGGTCGAATCTTTGGGAGCCCTGGCCCATGCTTTGTGGTCCTAGATTGATGAGGATGTGTTTTCTAAGATCATTAATTGTTCTCCTTTAAATGATGTTGTGAAAATAGTGTGTAGCGAGCCACTGCATACTAACTATTGAATGCCCGTGTTTGGGTCTCTTGGACTTAGATGTTGAGTTGGCATTTAAGGTTGTGGGTGGTCACCTAAGGTGCACCTTGAACAAGTGTTGGAAAGATGTGTGGTATCTTGGGGTAAGGTAGTGGGCTAATTCCAAAGAAAGCTTGTTTTTTTAAGACCAATATTGTAGTAGACTCATCCAACTATTATATCTCGATGATAATACTAAACCTTTCGAGTCTATGTTGATGACACCTAGAGTGACTAAGACAGTTACTGTCTTGTAGGGTTGATTCGAGTAGACTACTCGTATAGAAGATCTCCATTGTGCATGTGTGACAACACATGATAACACATGATACAAGTAGGCACGTTCATATTCAATATGTAAGATTTAGCATATGATGACAAGTTTTTTTGTGGTTGTGCATGGTTTCCCTATGGTGGAATTGTGAGATGATGTGGGCAGTTTGAGGCTTGTAGTTGTATGGTTTGTTTATTCTTTATGCACTTACCTATTTTATATCTTAAGTTGTTGTTTATTAAGCTTACTTAATTGTTTGTTATATTGACTACAATAATCATATCTTGACATGGGATATGACCAGGTTTAGCTAGAAGATGATAACTTGGAGTTGTTGTGGCCATCTAGAGGATGGTGGAAGTTTGAGACATGTTGGTCTCTTGACTTTGTGGTTTTGTTGTTTTATGAAAACTCAATTATATAGGTGTTTTTGGATGTTTGTATATATATAGATATTATACATGTTTTTTTTTTATTGTAGGCCGTTAGGAGATTTTATTTATTGCATTAATGACTAAGATTTTTTTTTATTGTTTTGATTCTTGTCGATCACTAAGATCTTGAGTGTACACACACACACACACACACACACACACACACACACACACACACACACATATATATATATATATATATATATATATATATAATGTCTTGATTGTGTTGCATGATAAACTTAGGATAAATAACTTATGTTTTTCACTACGTATTTATATTTATGTTTGAGTTGTGCTGGTGTGAGACCTATTGAATTGTTACAATTTTATTTTGGTGGGGGTGTATGTGACCCCCATATGACATTCGTTGATAGAAACCACACCACACTTTGCATGGTTATAATGTGTGAGTTCCTATAAGATGTTCAGTTGGCCAACTAGCCAGTTTGGTAGATCACGGAAAGAATGTATGCATAATATTTGCATAATCTTTTATGATAAATGTTACCTTAATTGTAGCCTATTTTCACTCATATTCTCATGTATATAGTTTACCAATGAATAAGAATCAGGCACGCAGGATTTCCAACATGGTATCACGAGCCTAGGTCTAATCCTAGTTGAACAAAACCTTAG